GAAAGTAGGCCCATTCATCCCATTCTGGGGAGGGGTTGTGGACTTTCTGCCAATGACCTGTTCCTCAAAAGCTGCTTCCCTGCTTCTACTTCTCCCTCCACTCCCCCATGCACAGGGCAAGAACTGGAATCTACCATTGGACCCGTGCACATCTGGGCCTTGCTCAGCTACAAAAAGTTCTTGGACAGAGGTGTTTGAAAGGAGAACTATATTTCTAGTGTGTTCTGGGGAGGGGTTGTGGACTTTCTGCCAATGACCTGTTCCTCAAAAGCTGCTTCCCTGCTTCTACTTCTCCCTCCACTCCCCCATGCACAGGGCAAGAACTGGAATCTACCATTGGACCCGTGCACATCTGGGCCTTGCTCAGCTACAAAAAGTTCTTGGACAGAGGTGTTTGAAAGGAGAACTATATTTCTAGTGTGTAGTTGGTGCTATTGCCTTTGGGTATTGTCTTAGCTCTAGTACTAGGCTCGAGAAGAGCAGCAAGAGGCTCTCAGGCTCTGATGACTTGTTAAAGCAGGAGAGCTAGGAGAGGGGATCTGGCAGGTTTCACTAGTTTCCAGCAAAACAAGATGGATGTTCTGCTATTGTCAGTGCAAGGGAATCACACCATGTGCTTCATGGTGCTGTGAGTGCTCACAAGCAGGCAAACACCATCCGGAGAGACGTGGGGTACATGCTGTGTTGGATGTGCCTGTGTCTCCCAGGCTGGAGAGCTATTAGTTGCTATGAAGCTACAATAGCCCTTGGGTAGTTGTTAAAGTGTTTGCTTGAGCTTATGAACCATAAATTCTGTGCACTCAGTCCAAAAAATTAAAAATGTTCCTTTGTGAAGCAAATGGGAGAGACGTTTATGGTTGCATGGGTATTTGGAGTTACTTTTGTATGCAGAAAGGACTGATCAGCTGCAGGTAAATAGGAGATGTTGAATGTGACTTTCAGCCTTGTGAAATCTGTGTTGCCTAGGTGGAAAAAATCCTTTATTTTTCCCTTTCTTGAGCAAACAAAAGGTCCTGAAACATATAATTCATCTTGCTGCTTCTTGCTCCATTTGAAATGATCTTTATTCATCACTGACAGTAGCTTTTGTTATCAAATTTCTGTGGTAGATAAATGAGTTAGGATGAGGTAATGTGCTGTTGATGTAAATTGAATGCAAAGTGAAGAAGGTAATGATCATCTCTCATTTTCTGTGCATAAGGAAATGCAAATATGAGAAAATAAATTGAGCTAAAATGCTGAAACAATACATCTCTTATCAATAAAGAGGAGTGTGGAGAATGGCCTGCCATAACAAAGGATAATTAGAATCTCATTACTGTAAATATTTTACTTTAGAACATAGGTCGGTCAAATTATTTGAGGTTTATGGTGCATATTTCACTTGTAATAGTATTTGCAACATTATTGCCAATTAATCTTCACACAGAATGCCAACATCATTAGAAAAAACATGGCTATTAATACAAATAATTTCTATTGTTTGCTGCTATTGCTGTCAACTTCTGGAGCACTAATTTGAAAGCAAAGTGCTTCTTTTTATTTATTTTGCAAACAAAATCCTCAGAATTGTGGTCCCCGACACAGGCACTTGGGAGATGAAAGCTTTGCTGTTTAGGTGGATGACATCAATCAGATTTGGATATACTTTGACTCTATGTTCTGAAAAGAAAGATATTTAAAATACATACCCAAGTCATATTACTTCCTATCAAATAGGCTTTCTGTAGCAATGAGCTGTTAGGAAAGGTCTATTCTAGTTTGAGGTGTTAGGTTAGGGGCTTTTTTTTGTTGAAATATCCCTTTGATTCATTGGAACAGAACCATCACACACACGTGGTTTCTGGGTCTCTGTTTGTGTCCAAGGCAGAAGGAGCTGGGCAGTGTGTTCCCAGCAGGGCCATGACCTCTGGCCTGGGGACTGCCCCTCTTCCAGAGAAGTTCTCTGCTGCAAAGTGAAATGAAGTTTATGAGAAGTCAGAACAAGAAATCTATTTTCATTTTAATCTGATAGATTTTTTTAAGATGTGCTCTGACTGCAATGATCAATAATGTTAAACAGCCTGATGGCTTGAGGATCTTGTTAAAGGATTGTTCATAATCTCCCTTGTCTCCAAATGCACTCTTTTAAGTGAAAAATCCTTGCTCAAAACCTTAAGCAATTTGACCTTGCCCTCTAGACAGCTGTGGTAAGTAATCTTTCCTCAAACAACGGCAAACAAGCCATTTCTGAAAATAAAATAGGGAAAGCAATGCTTGATCTTTATTTTTTCTTATTCCTTATTTGAATGCTTTGAAGTCCTTGACTTTTTTTGGGAGCAGTGATTGTCGGAAATTATCCAAATATAAAGGCAGCACAGCCATGGAGTCCTTTACAGTGCTGATCATTCTGTTGTAATGATTAACACACTGGAGAAAGTACCAATTCTGTTAGAAGTCCCATAACCCCTAGAGATACTAAGGTGTGGTTGGACATCAGCAGCATTAGTGACCTACCCCAGGGGAGGATAAACCCTCAGCCTTCCAGGTGGGATGCAGATGACTTGTCCCTGTGGTGGTGGCTCTGGGCACAGGATGATGCTGCTGGTGACTTCAGTTCTGTGCTGTGAGAGGCATATTTAGGCCAAAGGAGGTGGCTGGCTGTGATGATGTGAAATAGCATCAAGGACCAACTCTTCAGTTATGGCAGTACACAGTTTGTACAGGAGAAATTTTGGCTCTTCCATTTCTGAAAGCCTTTCCTCTACTCTCCTTTTCCATCTCAGGGGTTTCAGTTCTGTACTGGGCATTTTTCCTCTGCCTTTATGCTTCAATAGTTGTGCCAAGAAACAGGCTTCCTTGCTGAATTCCCTCTAGACACATCCATTGCAGTTAGCACTTTAGCTCCGTCCCTCCCATTTTATTCCGTTTTTAATTAGACTCCTGAACAGGAGCACAGAGCAAACTCTGCTTTCATCTGGGAGATCCTGTGGCTGTGAAATATTTACAGGAAGTAAATAACTGTCAGAAAGTAAATAGGTCCCTGACTCAACATGAGTGTAAAAGTGCTTTGAAATAGTCTCATTCAAATAAAAGCTCCTCACATTGAGTGGCAGTAAGAAAACAGCAACACAGGCAAAAAAATCCCCAATGTAGAAGATAAACACAATTACTAATTCATGGAGCAGCACGTTTCACAGTAGCAGCTTTAGTATCTTTCTTTGCAGTTTGATTTAAAATAGGCCAGATTAAAAGGAAGTCTGGATTTGATTTGGTGGTCATCTTTTCAGAAAGTGGAGTGCAGGCACAGGTAGACGCAGCACGCTGCCGAAGTCTCTCTAAATTTAGAATTCACCATCTCCACTTCAAACTCTAGATAAAGCAATGAAAGAAGGCTCAGAGGAGGCAGCAGCTCTTGCAGGTTTTGATGGTTCAGGTAGATCACCAAGCTCAAACATCAATGTACAGAGT